ATTTTTTCTAAAACAAACAAAAAAGAAGGGAAATTAACCCCAAGACTTTGAACAACCCTTGTCTGGAATGTTGAGGAACAGTTTTTTTGTTTTGTTTTGTTTTTACCGTGTAAATTGTTGAACTCTTTACTTAGTATAGAGTTGATTTTCTGTGTATAATAAAGTTAATAAAAAATGGATCTTAGTGGAGAATGGGACTGGGAATGGGAGAAGGAGGAGGAGGACAGGTGGGAATGTGGTGGGAGGGCGGGTATGGTGGGAAGCTTCATTATATTCCTAAAGTTATACTTATGAAACGCATGAAGTCTGTATTCCTTACATAAAAGGTTTCTTTGGGGAGGGGGAAATATGATAGTTTCAGGGGCCAGCGCTGTGGCAAAGCAGGTAAAGCTGCTGCCTGCAGTGCCGGCATTCCATATGATCACCAGTTCGAGTCCCAGCTGACCCACCTCTGACCCAGCTCTCTGCTGTGGCCTGGGAAAGCAGTAGAAGATGGCCAAGTCTTTGAGTCCCTGCACCCACGTGGGAGACCTGGACAAAGCTCCTGGCTTCTGGCTCCTGGCTTCAGATTGGCAAAGCTGCAGCCACTGTGGCCATCTGGGGAGTGAACCAGCAGATGGAAGACCTCTCTCTCTCTCTCTCTGCCTCTACCTCTGTAACTCTGCCTTTCAAATAAATAAATAAATCTTTAAACAGTTAGCTTCAAATACATTTTAAATATATATTTATTATCTAAAAACAGATAACTACACAAGCTAAAATAAATTTTCAGTTTTCTCTGACTTCTCATCTTTTATTTTTTTAAAGGGAGAGTCTCTCTCTCTTTTTTTTTTTTTAAGGTTTATTTATTTATTTATTTGAAAGGCAGAGTTATAGAAAGGCAGAGAGAGAGAAAGTCTTCCATCCAATGGTTCATTCCCCAAATGGCCACAATGGTGAGTTGGGCCAATCTGAATCCAGGAGGCAAGAACTGCTTCTGGGTCTCCCATGCAGGTGCAAGGGCCCAAGGACTTGGGCCATTTTCTGCTGCTTTCCCAGGCCATAGCAGAGAGCTGGATGGGAAGTGGAGCAGCCAGGATTTGAACCCAGCGCCCACATGGGATGCAGGCACTGCAGGTGGTGGCTTTCACCCACCATGCCATAGTACCAGCATTGTCTTCTTCTCATCTTAAGCCTACATTCAGTACATACTGAATCAAGCCTTAGCCGGCTAATTAAGACAACATCCCACATCAGAGTTTCATGCCTGCCTCAGCTCCCTGCTAATGCAGACCCTGGAGGCAGTGGTGATGGCTCAAGTAATTGGGTTCCTGCCATCCATCTGGAAAACGTCACTGAGTTCCCGGGTCCAGGTTCCAGCCCAGCCCAATCCCAGCCATTTCAGGTATTTGGGAAGTGAACCAGCAAATGGGAACTCCTTTTTCTACCTCTCAAATAAATTTAAAACAATAAATCATTATGGATTCATTAAGTATTATGTGCTGGTCAAATATGTTAGGCACTGGAAATACAAAAAAAAAAAAAAAAAAAAGCTACATTCTGCCCACAAAATACTCAGATTAGGAAGGGAGAGACACCTATAAAAAACTGCAGTAGAATGTGGTAAGAATTAACTTGGGCTTTGACCACAATGTTTGCATAGTAATCATAAGGTGTGTTCAGTTTTTGTTCTACTCTGTTTATTTATTTTTGTAAAGATTATTTATTTGAAAGGCAGAGTTACAGAGAGAAAAGGAAAGACAGATAGTGATCTGCTGATCTTCTATCTGCTGGTTTACTTCCCAAACAGCGGCAATGGCTGGGGCTGAGCCAGGCCAAAGTCAGGATCCTGGAGCTTCTTCCAGGTCTCCTACATGGGGACAGCAGCCTGAGCACTTGGGCCATCTGCTGCTGCTTTCCCAGGCACATTAGCAGGGAGCTGGATCAGAAGCAGAGCACCCTGGTCTTGAACCAGTGCCCATAGGGATGCCGGCATCACAGGTGGTGGCTTTAGGTGGCCCGGCGCCACAATGCCGGCCCTGTGTTCTTCGTCTTAGAATATACATGTTTGGAGTCACCGGTGAGATCACCCCCTAATGTGTTTATGATGATTACTAGTCTGTCAGAGAAGCCGCTACACAGGCGAAGGGCTGAGCCTATTCTACACTTGGAGGCTGGAGCAAGATGTTACACAAAGAGGCTGAGAACGTATATTTGGAGATGTAAAGAAAAATCATGTTAATGTCACCAGCGTTTAAAAAAAACAAGTTTTCCCGGCCGGCGCCGCGGCTCACTAGGCTAATCCTCCGCCTAGCGGCGCCGGCACACCGGGTTCTAGTCCCGGTCGGGGCGCTGGATTCTGTCCCGGTTGCCCCTCTTCCAGGCCAGCCCTCTGCTGTGGCCAGGGAGTGCAGTGGAGGATGGCCCAGGTGCTTGGGCCCTGCACCCCATGGGAGACCAGGAAAAGCACCTGGCTCCTGGCTCCTGCCATCGGATCATCGCGGTGCGCCGGCCGCAGCGCGCCAGCCGCGGCGGCCATTGGAGGGTGAACCAACGGCAAAGGAAGACCTTTCTCTCTGTCTCTCTCTCTCACTGTCCACTCTGCCTGTCAAAAAAAAAAAACACCAAGTTTTTCCAAAAGAGGAAGTTTTCAATATAAACATAGGGCCAAGCAGATCAAGGGTAATGATATTTTCAAAGGAGATCACTATTGACCCTTAAAAACCTAGCCAAGCACTATTTCTAAGCTCTTTCCATACATTAGCTTAATACAGCTGCTTCTACCCAGGAGGTAAGTGCAATCATGATTCCTTTATTTTATTTTATTTTATTTTATTTTATTTTATTTTATTTTGACAGGCAGAGTGGACAGTGAGAGAGAGAGACAGAGAGAAAGGTCTTCCTTTGCCGTTGGCCACCACGGCCGGCGCACCACGCTGATCCGAAGCCAGGAGCAAGGTGCTTCTCCTGGTCTCCCATGGGGTGCAGGGCCCAAGCACTTGGGCCATCCTCCACTGCACTCCCTGGCCACAGCAGAGGGCTGGCCTGGAAGAGGGGCAACCGAAACAGAATCTGGTGCCCCGACCGGGACTAGAACCTGGTGTGCCGGCGCCGCAAGGTGGAGGATTGGCCTAGTGAGCCGCGGCGCTGGCCCCTTAATTTTATTTTTTTAGATTTATTTGAGAGAGAGAGAGAGGGAGGGAGGGAGGAGGTCTTTGATTTGCTGGCTCACTCCCCAAATGCCTGCAACAGCCTGGGCTGCACCAGGCCGAAGCCGGGTACATGGGACTTCATCCAGATCTCTCACATGGGTGGCAGGGTCCCAAGTACTCGGGCCATATCTGCTGCTTTACCAGGCGCATTAGCAGGGAGCTGGATGGGAAGCAGTCCCCCATTAGCTGGGACGTGAACCTAACAGCAGCTTAACCCACTGGGCCACACTCCTATCACTCCCATTTTGTTTTCAAGATTTATTTTATGTATTTGAAAGACAGAGTTACAGAGAGAGGTAGAGACAAAGGGAGAGGTCTTCCATCCACTGGTTCAATCCCCAGATGGCTGCAACAGCCAGAGCTGTGCCAATCCGAAGCCAAGAGCCAGGCACTTCTTCCGGGTCTCCCACGTGGGTGCAGGGGCCCAAGGACTTGAATCATCTTCTACTGGTTTCCCAGGCCATAGCAGAGAGCTGGATCAGAAGTGAAGCAGCGGGGACTCGAACCGGTGCCCATATGGGATGGCAGTGCTTCAGCCCAGGGCTTTAACCCGCTGAGCCACAGCGCTGGCCCCTACCACTTCCATTTTATAGATGAGGCACATTATTAAGTAACTGGCCCAAGGGCACCCAGATAGTCAACTGACTAAGCCAGGATTCAAACCCAGGCAGTCAGCTTCAGGTCCTGTGCTTTTTTCAAATCGCACCTGAGCCAGCACATCTCTGGAGAAGATGAAAACCTACTTATCCAGAGTCACAAAAAGCGATAGATTTTCACATTCGGCTGGGCCTAGGGTGGACCCTACAACCTAGGACACGTTCAGCTTGCTGCGGGAGACGGGCAGAGAGGCGCCAACCGCTAAGTCTGGTTTACCTGCAATGTCCTTAGCAAGGAAATCCAAGTTTGCTTCTCTCTACTCAGCCATGCTTTCTGCGGCCAATTCCGAGGGCACACGCACCCTGACGACTTTTCTCAACAGTCACTCACTTAACAAATATTTGCGCAGGGACTCAAGGCCAGACATTGTGCAAGGCAGACAAGACAAAGGTGAACCAAGACAGACGAGATCTCTGCTCTCTTAAAAACATACTTTCTCGTGGAGGATGCAGGGGGAGGGAACAGGCTTGGGAGGGCATGGCTGGAGCTGGGTAAGCAAGGGGCGCGCCGGGGGGCGGGTGAGTCTTGGGAGATTAATTTGGAGGGGCTGGCGGAATCCGGAGCGGAGGGAGCCCTCAGGGCCACGCCCGAGAGGCATTTTCCTTGCAGCCACTCAGAGCCCGTGGCTGCGGTTGTCCTAGCCCACTTAACCCCGGGTCAATCCAACCTTCATACCCCCTATTGATATCAATCAGGACACTTAGCCACCTGGAGTCTCTCGGCCTTTCAGGTCACCTAGGGCCTGCGTCATCCACTCGCCTCCAGGACTCATCCTCTGGCCGGGCTCCCTCGGGCCGCTTAGACCCGGCCAGGTCACCTCAGTGCCACGCCTCCATGGCCCGCGATTCGCCCGGCACGTTACGCTTTGTTTCCCAGAAGCAGGTTTTCAACCCGCCGCTCCCTCCTCAGCTCCAGCTGTTTTCCTGCCAGCGCTGGGAGGCCCAGCGGCCGCAGCGCCCCCGGCGGCGGCGGCGGACCGAGGCCCAGGAAGGGAGTGCCCGCCGCCCCCCGCCTCCTCAGCCTCCTCCCGGAACGCGGGAGCGGGCGCGAGCGGCGCGCGCCCGGACCGCCCCGACCGTGCTCCTGATTGGCTGTGCCCCGTGACGTCACGGGGAGGGCCTCGGCGGCTGCAGGGAGCCGGAGCTCCCGCGCGTGCGCAGACGGAGCGCGCTGAGCGGAGGGGGGTGGTGGCCGGTCGCTTGTCCCGCGTCCGCCATTTTGTTGCTGTGGCTATTGGGAACGGGCTGGTCCAAACTGCCCCGGAGGCACGAAGCTCTCTGGAGTCCGGTGCTTCGTGTGACGGCGTGGGGGGTCCGTGAAGACTTGTGGGGCTGCGGAGCCGGTGCGTTCTAGGCCGGGAGTCACCGGAGCCACCCCCTCCCGGCCCCGGGACGCCAGGCAGCCAGATAACCCCGGGGCGGCCTCCGCTGCGGCTCGGCGTCGCCCGCCCAAGGCTCTGCCCCGCATCCCCCCGGGCCGGCTCTCTGTGTGAGGCGGCCTCGGAGCAGGCGGGCGGCGGCAGAGGATGCTGCGGGCCCGGAGCCCAGAGAAAGGTGCTGGCCGGGCCGTGTGAGCGCGCTCCGCGGTGTGCCCAGAGGCCCTGCCTCGGCCCCAGCGCCGTCTGCCGAGCTTCCAGGCTTCCAGGGCGGGCGAGAGCAGCCGCCACCCCGCCGTCGGCCCGACACCATGTCTTCGGCCAGGTTCGACTCCTCAGACCGCGCCTCCTGGTACATGGGGCCGGTGTCTCGCCAGGAGGCGCAGACCCGGCTCCAGGGCCAGCGCCACGGCATGTTCCTGGTGCGCGACTCCTCCACCTGCCCCGGGGATTACGTGCTCTCGGTGTCGGAGAACTCGCGGGTCTCCCACTATATCATCAACTCGCTGCCCAACCGCCGCTTTAAGATCGGGGACCAGGAGTTCGACCACTTGCCGGCCCTGCTGGAGTTCTACAAGATCCACTACCTGGACACCACCACCCTCATCGAGCCCGCGCCCAGGTAACGCGAGCTGCCGCCCTTCCCCGGCGCGCGACCCCCGCCACCGCCGAGGAGGGAGGGGAGGGCATGTCCGGGTGAGGGGCTGGAGCCCGGTCCTCCCCAGCCCTCAATCCAGAACCGCATTGTTCCCCAGAAGGCGTTCCGAACGGGAACGGTTAGTGTCAGGATCTGGGTCACTGGATCAGAGGGCTGCGTGTAAAATCGCGGGAGCGGCGATCGTATAGCTGAAACTCACGCCTTTTGTCATGTTTTCTGCAGTACTAATGGGGTTTTATTTATTTGTTCTTAAAATTTTTTTTTGGGGGGGGTGGGACCATAAACTGCTTTTGAGAATTTGAAGATAGCCAGAGGGTGTCTCCACCCGCCAGAAAGTGCCGGTACACGGAGGTTCACCCCTTGCAGATCTCCAGGTTAAGAACCCCTGGGCTGCAGCCCTTGGGTAGTCGCCAAATGAAAATGCTTTAGCGTTTAGCAGCACAAACCTGTAACTGAAAGAAGTGTCGGCTGATGGTCTGGTGCCAAGTTTGAAGCGACCCAGACACACCTGTTTCACCTTACATGAATGACAAAGAAAAGAGAAAGTGCGACGCCTTCAGCGAGGGCTTTTTTGGGGGGGGGGGAGTTGGGGGGTTGTACCCTCTCCTCAGGTGGATCATTCAATAGGCTCACGCCTTAGTTTCTGTTTTTTAAAGACAAGAACCCGCAGTGACATTACCGAGCATAATGCGCTATTTTATTTGATTGTTTTCTTTAATTGGTTTAAGCGGGTTTTTTTAGCGGTTTATTTTGTTTAAAATTATGCCAAATTGGAATTGAAAAAATTGCCTAGATTTTTTTTCAAAGGATGTTTCACTGCTCAGTTGGTTTCCTAAAACATCTGTTTAAAAAGAACGGGATGTTGATGTAGTTTTTTTCCTGGAGTGAGGTGTTCCTGACTTTATAGATTGCCTAATGACAAGGTATTGTGCTAAACTTAAAACATTAAGAGCTATTATAATTAATTAAAAACACCAACTGAATGCATAAGTGTTGCTTCTGTGAAATAGAGAAGAAAGCAAGCCACAGTGGTATATTGACTGTAAGATTACTTAGCTAAGAGAGAAAGTCATATAAATCAAATACCGTATAACAAAGGCCACGACGCCAAGAATCTCATTGGTCAGACTCCAAATCCTAACCTGCTAGGAGATAAAGTCCGAACGAGTGTCATTCCAGTGTAAGAGGTGGATGCGAACCTTACCACTGTAATATGGTATTTGTAATACAAGTAAATCCCTTCTCTAGTTTGTACAAGTAAACTGCCTCTATGAAGCTGTATTGTGTGGTTATAACGAGGGGACAGTTGCTGTAATACAGCTGTTGGTTTGAAAAAGTGTGAGTTAATGGGTGAGCTTCCACCAGAGGGAGAGAAGGAAGTACGCTATGGTGGGCTTCCCACTCCCCACAAAACCCAGATTTCCCATAGGCATCTTCCCAGCGTCGGCGCTCTCATCCATGCCTTACGCCTCTGTACCTTTGGTTGTTCATTGACAGACTCCACCCACGCTCCACCTATTGAAATCCTACCTGTTGTCAGTCCCCTCACAAATAATAGGGTGTTTCGCCCTGATCCTCCCCCTCACAATCCACTTATATAACTCTTTCTCTTTCTCTGTGCCCTCTGCCCATGGTTGCTGTTTTTTCCTGAGTATCCCAGTACTGGTCAAATTAGATCTGGGCTTGATTTACTTTTTTATGCTGAATCTTTTTTTTAAGATTTTTTTTTGAAATTCGGAGTTACAGAGAGAGGGGGAAAAGACAGAGACCCTCCATCCTCTCTGGTTCACTCCCCAAATGGCAGTAACAGTCAGGGCTGGACCAGGCCCAAGCCAGGAGTCTGGAACCCCATCTAGGTCTCTGTTGTGGGTGGTAGGGGCCTAAGCCCTGGGTAATCTTCCACTCTTCTCTCAGGCGCATTAGAGGGAGCTGGATTGGAAGTGGAGCAGCTGGGACTTGAAGTTGAACCAGTGGTCATGTGAGATGCCAGTGTTGCAGGTGGTGGCACCACAGTGCCTGAGCTCTTGTTAGGCTGGATCTTTGAGGTGCTACTCCCAAGCTTGAAATTCACAGAAAGCTAGTGGTTAGTGGAAAGTTACCAAATGGAAGACTCAGTGTGGTATGTCTTCACAACCCTAAACAGGATAAATTCAACGATTTATCTTCAGGCATCAGAACTGAACCAGTTTTGGGCCCCTTGGCTAACAGTTCATTTATTTGGTTTTGTTGTTCCATTGTTGAAGGTCATAACTGAAGTGTTTTCCTCAGAAGTTAAGGGCAGATGCTTTTATGTCCGGTCATATTTATTGGCATTTTTCTTAATTCTTCATTTTCTATTTTCATTCTGAACTCTAACCAGCACTCATAAGGGACATTGGCCTCAGAGGTGGCGATTTAACTGCTGCACCACAGTGTCACCCCTATTGACAGATACTCCCTCGTGGATTTTCCATATTAGTGGAGGAGACAGACTAAAAAGTACTTGGAAGAGTAATACAACAAAGGAAAGGACCTTCCTGAGGCAGTACGGTCACAGAAAGCATGGCCACTGTAGAAACAGCAAGCTTGGACTGGAGGAGTCTTCCAGGCAGAGGGGAAAGCTTGTGCAAAGTTCTGAGAAAGCAGTGTTGGTTCTGGGAGGAGAAATGGGTTTACTTGAGAAGAATTCAGAAATAGTGGACAAGGGAAGGAAATTGGTTTTATTTAAAGTGAGATGGGCTCCTTGAAAGGAAGGAAGTTGTCAGTGTAATCCAGGTGCAAAATGATGGTGACTGATAGTGACAGTGAGTCTGTGACTGAGAGGTGCCTATCATGGAGATAAAATTGATGTTTCTGATGACTGGGAGGCATGATGGGGGAGAAGCAAGATCATGGTGTGATGTATTTGTAGCTGTGTGTCCTCTAGGTTTATTTTATTAATTGTTTTTCCTATTTGTTGGATTCCTGTGGTGGGTTTTAAATTTACCCTCCACCGGGTATCCATGTTGAATGGCTTTCGTTGATTTTGAACGAGCCAGTAGAATTCTCCTTCTGCACATGGCTGTCATTTTTATGATGCAGATCATTTGATGAACAGGAATCTTGTAGTGGTTTTCTTTCCCATTTTATTTGATTGGAAGCATTCTAAAGAAGGTTTCTGGACAAATTGTCGGAATATGCAGATGGTCTTTTTTGTTTGTTTTTAGTTTTTATTATTTGAGGGGTGGAGAGGGCACCCATCCACTGGTTCACTCCTCAAAAATGCCAGAATGATCACAGCTGAGCCTAACTGAAGCCAGGATCCTGGGACTCAATCTGGGTTTCTCACATGGGTGTGAGGAGCCAGAGTTGGGAATCAGATCCAGGCACTGGATGTGGGTACCTGAACCACCAAGCCAAATGTCCACTCCTGTCTAGTTCTAGTTTATGTAGATAATATGCAGGATAAGAAAAAAGATCATCAGAAATAAAAATTTATCATTAAGAACTGAGGGAACTTGACCCTTTGAGAAAATCATGTCTGTTTTCACTCAACAGACATTGAACATTGAGTTTATCTGGTAATTCGGAGCCAGCATTTAATCTGATGGTTCCTGTCATGCTCCTGGGGGAGCTTGCTGGTTCCTGAGGGTTTTGTTTTGTTTAAGGCCACTTCCACACGTGGTAAATGAGAGAACCAAGAAAGGGTGTTTAGTCTAACCGAAGAGCCCAGAGGTAGACCCCCACACCTGTGATGGAGAAAGCACCTCGATACCTCCGTCCACATACCCTGTTCTAAATATTATGGACGCAGATGTAAACTTTCATAATTGGGAATAGAGGAGAAGGATTACCAGCGGCTTTGATCAGCATGGAATTTGACCCTTTGATTTAAGCCAACCGGTAGTGTAAATCACCCAAGTTTGCTTCGTTATGCTGAGAATGGAAGCTTGTCCAGTTAAGAGTTGTATTCCTATGCATGTAAAGTGCTGGAAGCCAGGGGCTGGTGTTGTGGTGCAGCGAGTTGAGTAGCTGCTTGTGACGCCAGCATTCCCTATCAGAGCGCTGGTTTAGATCCCGGCTGCTGTGCTTCTGATCCAACTGAAGACAGTGGAGGATGGCTTCAGTGCTTGGTTCCCTGCCACCCTGTGGAAAGATCATGCATGGAGCTCCTGGCTTCACCCCGGTCCAGCCCCAGCAGGTGCTGCCATTTGAGGAGTGAACCAGCAAATTGAAGATCTCTGTTTCTACCTCTCTCTCTCTGTCACTCTGCCTTTCAGATAAAATCTTGGAAAAAAAAAAACAAACTACTGGAAGCCATTTGATTTGTGGCTTTTTGTCAGACCGTTTGTTCTGAACAGATGAACTAAATGATTTCTAAGGGTCCTTGAGGCCGGAATATTTTAGTTCTTTGTGATGAGTAAAAGTGGACCCTGCTTATTAATGGGAGTTGAGATTATCCTGAGCCAAGATCATTACAAGCAAGGTGGGGCCACCAGGCATGTGTCAGCTTGCCTGGAATGATGGCTGAGAACGTCAGGCTAAGAACCTGGAAATACAGGTGGAGGAATGATAAGGTGAGCGGACTGCACAGGCGCACCAAGTGGCACACGGAGTTCTCCTTGTCTGTATAACAGAGCTAAACCAGAGTTAGGTCCTTAGCGCTACAAGCTGGGCTTTTGTGCTTTCAGAAGGAAACAGGAATGGAAATAGGAATGGGAAGTTCTAACATTTGCAGACCTGTGTACCAGTACTAGACAAAGCATATTATGGGAGTAAACCATGGGTTTTTGTTTCTCAGAAGTTCAGTTTGTTGAAAAAAAGGTGATTACCTGTGCCTGAGGAGTCCCACCAGGCTCAGAGGGCTTGCTCTTTCCGGTTCTGGAAGGATGGGAACAAGGATCTGAGAGAGAAGAGGTGGTGGGTGGTGCCTGCTGGGAAAGGCAAGGATTTGTAATTAATGTGAGTGATGCGCTGGAAGCTAGGTAGGAGGGATAAAGCTGACTTGGAAAGCCGGGGCCCCTCTCCCCCACCCCCATGCCTTGTAAATGAGTCTGGCAGTGGGAGCCCGCCAGGTTTTTACTTTTTAGAAACTGTTCTGGTGTGGACTGGGTTAGGGAGAGACTGGAAGTTAATTAAGCGCTACTATGGGAGAGAAACCATGACCAGCGGAACTAAGATTAACTCTGTTGGGAATGTAAAGTGGGGACTCAATCCTTGCTTGGCAGTTGAGCGTAGAAAGTGAGGGAAGAGGCCGGCACTGTGGCTCACTTGGCTAATCCTCCACCTGCCGCGGTTCTAGTCCTGGTCGGGGCGACGGATTCTGTCTCGGTTGCTCCTCTTCCAGTCCAGCTCTCTGCTGTGGCCCGGGAAGGCAGTGGAGGATGGCCCAAGTGCTTGGGCCCTGCACCCGCATGGAAGACCAGGAGGAAGCACCTGGCTCCTGGCTTTGGATCGGCACAGCGCACTGGCCGTAGTGGCCATTTGGGGGGTGAACCAACGGAAAAGGAAGACCTTTCTCTCTAACTCTGCCTGTAAAAAAAGAAAAGAAAAAGAAAGTGAGGGAAGAGGTTTGACTTCAGAGAGGATTAAGAAATGCCTTTGAGGGAAGAGAAAGGATTAGGTGAGGGGGGCAGTTGTTTTCAATAGGAAGTCTTTTGGGGAACCTAATGGCAGCCAGGTGTGCTTTAGTAACCTGATGGATTTGTTACTGAGGGAAGAGGTGGGGACTGAATATGTTGGTTTGGCCCTTAGAATCACACAGAATGGGGCCGGTGCTGTGGCTCAGCGGGTTAAAGCTGCGGCGCCAGCATCTCATATGGGGGTTAGTTCCAGTCTGAGGTAGTTTCCAATTCAGCCCCCTACTAATGTGCCTGGGAACGCATATGGGAGACTGGAAGAAGCTCGACCTGACTGTTGGGGCCATTTAGGGAGTGAACCAGTGGATGGAAGATCTTTCTCTCCCTCTCTCTAACTCTACCTTTCAAATAAATAAATCTTTAGGAAAAAAAAAAAAAACTGGAATGAGCAAAGCAAGAGATGTGGAAGGAAGGTGAGGGGTGTATTGCATGTAGGCCAACAGGTGAAAGCTTTTCTCTCTCAAAATAATGTTTGAGATAAGTTTATTGTAGTGCAACAATTTGAAATCTAGCTTTTTTTTTTTTTTTTTTTTTTTTTTTTTTGACAGGCAGAGTGGACAGTGAGAGAGAGAGACAGAGAGAAAGGTCTTCCTTTGCCATTGGTTCACCCTCCAATGGCCGCCGTGGCTGGCGCGCTGCAGCCGGCGCACCACGCTGTTCCGATGGCAGGAGCCAGGTGCTTCTCCTGGTCTCCCATGGGGTGCAGGGCCCAAGCACTTGGGCCATCCTCCACTGCACTCCCTGGCCACAGGAGAGAGCTGGCCTGGAAGAGGGGCAACCGGGACAGAATCCGGCGCCCCGACCAGGACTAGAACCCGGTGTGCCGGCGCCGCAAGGCGGAGGATTAGCCTAGTGAGCCACGGCACCGGCCCACACCTGATATTTTTAAGACAAACTGCTATTAAGCAGTTTGCCCTTGGTTATAAAATTGTTAATAAGTAACAAGGCCTTTGAAATTTTAAATCAAGCTCCTAATCACCTAATCATTATGACTTATGAAAGTAGTTGTAGTAAAAAGAGATACAAGGTTTTGTTTTTGTTTTTGTTTTAAGATTTATTTTTCCCCTGTGCTGTGTGGCATAGTGGGCTAAGCCTCAGGTGCCGGCATCCCATATGGGCACTGGTCCCAGTCCAGCTCTCTGCTATGGCCTGGGAAAGTAGCAGAAGATCGTGCAAATCCTTGGGCCCCTGCACCTGCATGGGAGACCAGAAGAAGCTCCTGGCTCCTTGCTTCAGATCAGCCTAGCTCTGGCCGTTGCTTTCATTTGGGGAGTAAACCAGCAGATGGGGGAATCTCTCTCTGCCTCTCTGTAACTCTGCCTTTCAAATAAGTAAATAAATCTTAAAAAAAAAAAAAAAGTAATGTGGCTGTATATATTTAGGGCCATAATAAATGTTCACGTTCTTTAACCTAGTTATTTGAGTTCTGGGAGTCATAAGTTAAAAAAGTGATAAAGGGAAAATATGCTCAAAGTGTGTGGCATTGACGGCTAAACATGAAGAAACAGTGAACTATCCAGGGGCGCTTCCTTATGTTGTGCTCACAGAATGCTGTGACAGTGGAGGTGGTGGAGGCCAGTGATGTGCAGACACACCTGTGCTGTGATTTTAGGAAGAAAAGCTGCCGCAGTTTTTCTGGAGTGGATGCAGGCTTTGGTGAAGCCCCCTCTTAGTGAGATACAAACTCTGGAGGCACCCCAGCCTAGGGTAGATTCTGGGCTTCAGAAAAGGGGAAGGGGAAGAAACGTTTTTTTCCACTTGGTGGCTTTCCAGCTTTTCAAACCTTGTCTCAGGCGAGGAGAGACTCGTGTTTCTGGTGGGTGTTAGCAGGACTGTGCTTGTGTGGCTGACCCTGGGAGTTCATCCTACATGTCGTTGGGCAGATATTAATATATCTGTAGCCACTGCAAAGCTGCAGTGGTGGCAGCAGACTGACACTTACATGGGGGCTCTGACCTGTGCGTTTTGCAGTGTAAGTTTCATTGATGCTCATTTTGATGATCAGGTGGTAATTTTATTTTGGTAGACATCTGGTTTTTGTACTTTGAGGGACCAGAGGCAGACCTTTCTCATCTTTTCTCTGTGTAGCCAGGGAAATGTGCAGGATGTGTCATTAAATTAGGACTGGGAGAAAGAATTTGTGGCATTTGTGACAAAGTCCAATGGAAGGCAGCTACTGAACTTAAGATTTTAAAAATAAATTAAGATTGGGTATCGGCTGGCACCCTGGGTTCTAGTCCCGGTCGGGGCACCGGATTCTGTCTGGTTGCCCCTCTTCCAGTCTAGCTCTCTGCTGTGGCCCAGGAGTGCAGTGGAGGATGGCCCAGGTCTTTGGGCCCTGCACCCGCATGGGAGACTGGGAGGAAGCATCTGGCTCCCGGCTTTGGATCAGCGCAGCGCGCTGACCATAGCAGCCACTTGGTGGGTGAACCAACGGAAAAAGGAAGACCTTTCTTTCTCTCTCTCTCTCACTAACTCTGTCCAAAAAAAAAAAAAAAAAAATTGGGTATCTATATGTAAACAAAAACTTATAAAGCAGATGTGGTGTGTATATACATTTGACATGTAATTTGAAAAGGCATACTCAGGATATTGACTTTCATTAAAGACTACAGAAAGTACAATCTGAAAGAACCTTCTTACTCCTGAGAATAAATATAGAGAAATAATTCATTATGGAGGAGTGTGGTTTATTAAAAAATTTGATAGGGACCAGCATTGTGGCATAGTGGGCTAAGTTTTTACCTGCAGCACTGGCATCTCATATGGGCTGTGGTTCTAGTCCTGCCTGCTGTTTTTCTGGTCCAGCTCTCTGCTGTGGCCTGGGAAAGCAGTGGAAGATGGCCCAAGTGCTGGGGCCCCTGCACCCCATGGGAGACCTATAGGAAGCTCCTGGCTCTTGACTTCAGATTGGTCCAGTTCTGGCCGTTGTGGCCATTTGGGAGTGAACCAGTGGATGGAAGACCTTTCTCACTGTCTCTCTCTCTCTCTCTCTCTGTAACTCTACCTCTAAAATGAATAAAATCTTAAAAAAAAAAAAAAAGTTTGATGACACTGGTAAGATTTTTCTCCTAATTTTCTTTCTCTCTTAAGGTATCCAAGCCCACAAATGGGATCTGTCTCGGCACCCAACCTGCCTATAGCAGAAGAAAATCTGGAATATGTACGGACTCTCTATGATTTTCCTGGGAATGATGCTGAAGACCTGCCTTTTAAAAAAGGTGAGATCCTGGTGATAGTAGAGAAGCCTGAAGAACAGTGGTGGAGCGCCCGGAACAAGGATGGTCGGGTCGGGATGATCCCTGTTCCTTATGTTGAAAAGCTCGTGAGATCCTCGCCACACGGAAAGCACGGAAATAGGAATTCCAATAGCTATGGGATCCCAGAACCTGCTCATGCGTATGCTCAACCTCAGACCACAACTCCTCTACCTGCAGTTTCCAGTACTCCTGGGGCAGCCATCAACCCCTTGCCATCCACACAGAATGGACCTGTCTTTGCGAAAGCAATCCAGAAAAGAGTGCCCTGTGCTTACGACAAGACAGCCTTGGCATTAGAGGTAAAACCTGTTAAGACTGTCCTTTGGGTTCTTTGACGTTTGGTTTTCATTTTCGGTTTTAATTTCTGCAAAGTCATGACTTCTCATTTAAGGTTATGTTCATGGGAGTTAAAAAACTGGGTTATTCTGAAAGATGCAGTTAGTGTTGCAGTTTTTGTCCTTTCCTTCTCCTTGTTTCTTCCAAGTTCTCAGCCTGCTTATTCTTAATTCTTGCTCCTAAAAGCCCCTAGATGTGATTTCAGTAGTTGGTTTTCTTTTCAGTAAGGAAAGATGATAATTAAGAAAGGTCCAGAGGCTGGTGCTGTGGCGTAGCAGGTGAAGCTGCTGCCTGTAGTGCTGGCATCCCATATGGGTGCTGGTTCGAGTCCCAGCTGCTCTACTTTCAATCCAGCTCTCTAATATGGCCTGGGAAAGCAGTAGAAGATGGCCCAAATCCTTTGGCCCCTGCGCCCACATGAAAGACCTGGAAAAAGCTCCTAGCTCCTGGCTTCGGATTGACCCAGCTCTGGCTGTTGTGGCCATTTGGGGAGTGAACCAGTAAATGGAAGATATCCTCCCCCCCCCCCCCCCGCCTCTCTGTAACTGCCATTCAGATAATAAATAAATCTTAAAAAAAAAAAAAAAAAAAAAAAGTCCATGACCTTGAGGAGAAATCAGCATATAGACACATAGTCATTTGTGCAGTTCCCATATTTCTAACCTGCTAAGTAGATCAGCTAGGCAGAGAAATGATTGTAAAATGTTACAGATTTTATAAATTTATAATGTATCATGAAATAGAGCTTGAACATTTTTTTTTGACAGGCAGAGTGGACAGTGAGAGAGAGAGACAGAGAGAAAGGTCTTCCTTTGCCGTTGGTTCACCCTCCAATGGCCGCCGCGGCTGGCACGCTGCGGCCGGCGCACCACGCTGTTCCGATGGCAGGAGCCAGGTGCTTCTCCTGGTCTCCCATGGGGTGCAGGGCCCAAGCACCTGGGCCATCCTCCACTGCACTCCCTGGCCACAGCAGAGAGCTGGCCTGGAAGAGGGGCAACCGGGTCAGAATCCGGCGCCCCGACCGGGACTAGAACCTGGTGTGCCAGCGCCGCAAGGTGGAGGATTAGCCTAGTGAGCCACGGCACCGGCCGAGCTTGAACATTTTAATCACCATATCATTTTCTTCTGACTAAATACTAACAGCCTTTTTAAAAAAGAAGACTCTTGTGCCAGAGCTGTGGTGTAGTGGGTTAAGCCACAGCCTGCAACACTGGCATCCCATATGGTGCCGGTTCAAGTCTCAGCTGTTCCACTTCTGATCCAGCTCCCTGCTAATGCACCTGTGAAAGGAGCAAAAGATGGCCCAAGTGTTTGGGCCCTTTCCAAAACCTGAGTGGGAGACCTGCAAGAAGCTCCTGGCTCTTGGCTTGTATTGACCCCGCCTTGGCCATTGCAGCCATTTGAGGAGTGAACCAGTAGATGGAAGACTTCTCTCTCTCTCTCTCTCCCTTCTCTCTGTAATTCTGCCTTTCAAATAAATAGAATCTTTTTTTTTTTAAAAAATTTTGTATTTTCAGAGCGGTCCTGTATACTTCCTTTCTTTTCTTTTAAGATTTATTTGTTTGTTTAAAAGGCAGACACAGATTTACATCCACTGGTTCGTTCCCCTAAATGGCCACAACAGCTAGGATTGGGCCAGGCTGAAGGTAGGAGCCAGGAATTCCATCCTGGTCCCCCATATCAGTGGCAGGGGCCTGCCTTCCCCAGCACATTAGCAGGAAGCTGGATCAGAAACAGAGTAGCCAGCATCACAAGTGGTGGCTTAATCTGCTGTACCACAACACCAGCCCCTTTTTTTATTTTTATTAATTTTTGGCCAGGTATACAAATACATACAATGAGGTACAACCTTATTATTTCATTTTAACTTATTTTAAAAATAGATGTATTCTTTAAATTAACTTATTTGAACAAAACGGAGAGATCATCCATCTACTGGTTCACTCCCCAAATGCCTACAACAGCCAGGGCTGGGCCATGCTAGCCCAGGAACCTTGTTTCCCAGAGTGTGCATTAGCAGGAAGTTGAAATCAGAAGAAGAGTCAGGACATGAACCTTTGCACTCTGATATGGGATGTGGACATTGCAAGAGAAACCTTTTTTTTTTTTTTTTTTTAATTTTTGACAGGCGGAGTGGACAGTGAGAGAGAGAGACAGAGAGAAAGGTCTTCCTTTTTTGCCGTTGGTTCACCCTCCAATGGCCGCTGCGGCCGGCGAGCTATGCCAGTTCGAAGCCAGGAGCCAGGTGCATCTTCCTGGTCTCACATACGAGTGCAGGGGCCCAAGCACTTGGGCCGTTTTCTACTGCTTTCCCAGGCCACAGCAGAGAGCTGGATTGGAAGAGAAGCAGCTGGGAGTTAAACCGGCGCCCATATGGGATGCCAGCACCACAGGCAGAGGATTAACCCACTGCGCCACGGTGCCGGCCCCTGTTTGGTTTTAAGATTTATTTATTTAATTGAAAGGCAGAGTTTACAGAGAGAGATATCTTCTATCCACTGATTCACTCCTCAGATGGCTGGAGCTGGTCCCATCAGGAGCCAGGAGCTTCTTTTGGGTCTCCCAAGTGGGTGCAGGGGCCCAAGGACTTGGGCCATCCTCCACTGCTTTCCCAGGCTTTACTCACCATGCCATAGCACCATCCCAACATCTGAGCTTTTTTGCCCTTACCTGTAAAATGTAAATAGCTCTGTTATGCTCAGTAGCTGTGGTGAAGAAAAAAAATCAAATGATGTTTGTAAAAAATGCTTTTGTAAACCACGGATTGCTGTATAATGGTCACTTGAGTTCCTTTCTTTGATATTATCAAATTGCATATATATTAGAGAAACCAAGATTGTGTTAGTGACTGTTGTCTGTATTCACCATAAGGTCAAAACTGAGAGGGTTGAGAGCCCAGTCATACCATAGGATGACATAATGGAACCCGCTGCTTCAGAAGAGCAAAACTTCACCCGCCAAACAGCCTACCCACAGATAAAAGTCACTGGAATTCATTTTGTGTGTTATTTTCCCCTTCGTATCCTCAGTTCTCTTTGGACCAGGAGAAATAGCTGAGTGAACTACACCTGAAGGTTTATTTCAGAGTCTGTGATGAGGTCTCCCTCTCATGTTGGTTGTTAAGGACTGAATAGTTGAGGCTTGTGGCAGAGACCACAGATGGGGAGGACCCGAGTGGTTTTACACTTCCCAGGGGAAGAACAGCAAAGAAAACAAGAGAAACCTGCCTCTACAGATAAGAATCCTGGCTCTACAGATAAATATCCAGCTTTCTCCCATTTAGTGCCTTAGACAAAACAGGGACCTGCCCCCTCACCCTCACTTTTAAGGTTATTTTGGGGCCAGCAGTATGGCCCAGCGGGTTAAGCCATGGCCTGTAGCACTGGCATCCTATGTGGATGCCAGTTCGAGTCCTGGCTGCTCAACTTCAATCCAACTCCCTGCTAATGGGCCTGAGAAAGCAGTGAGGATGGCCCAAGTAGTTGGGCCCCCGCATCCACATGGGAGACCTTGGAAGAAGCCATTGGGGCCCAGCGCTGTGGTATAGAAGGTAAAGCTGCCACCTGCAGGGCCAGCATCCTATGTGGGTGCTGGTGTGGGTCCCAGTTGTTCTTCCAATCCAGCTCTCTGCTACGGCCTGGGAAAACAGTAGAAGATTGCCCAAATCCTTGGGCCCTTGCACCCCTGTGGGAAACCCGGAAAAGGCTCCTGGCTTCGGATTGACCTAGCTCCAGCTGTTGTGGCCATGTGGGGATTGAACCAGCAGATGGAAGACCTAGCCCCCCACCCCTCTGCCTCTTCTTCTCTGTAACTCTGGTTTTCAAATAAATAAATTTTTTTTAAAGCCATTTGGAGAGTGAACCAGTGGATGAAGTCATTTCTCTCTATAACTCTGCTTTTGAAATAATGAAATCTTTAAAAAAATTAAAATTAAAAAAAGATTATGTATTTGGAAAATCAGAGTTAACAGAGAGGCAGAGAGAGATCTTCATCCCTGGTTCACTCCCCAGATGGCAGTAGCTGCCAGGGCTGCGCCAGATTGAAGACAGGAGACAGGAGCTTCTTCCAGTCTCTCTTACGTGGGTGGCTGGGGCCCAAACACTTGGGCCATCTTCTGCTCTTCCAAGGCCATTTAGAAGGGAGCTGGGTTGGAAGTTAAGCAGGAGGGTCATGAACCTGCTATGCCACAATGCCAGTCCCACCGTGGACTTTTTTTTTTTTTTTTTAAGATTTACTTATTTGAAAGAGTTACACAGAGAGAGAAGGAGAGGCAGAGAGAGGTCCTCTATCCACCAGTTCACCCCCACAATCAGCCGTAACAGCTGGAGCTACGCCGATCCGAAGCCAGGAGCTTCCTCTGGGTCTTCCCATGCGGGTGCAGGGACCCAAGGAATTGGGCCACCTTCTGCTGCTTTCCCAGGCCACAGCAGAGAGCTGGATCAGAAGAGGAGCAGCCAGGTCTAACTGGCACCCTTATGGGATGCCAGCACTGCAGGCAGCAGCCTTTCCTGCTTTGCCACAGCACCAGCCCTCCCTGGACTGTTTAATACCCTCTGGTTTGCAGGAGTGTCTGGCATAGCAGTTAAAACACTGCTTTGGGAGCCAGCATTGTGGTGCAGCCAGTTAAGCTACTGCCTGCAACTGGCATCCCATGAGCTTTAGTTCAAGTTCTAGCTGCTCTACTTCTGATCCAGCTCCTTGTTAATGTGCCTGGCAGTGCAACAAAGCATGGTCCAAATGCTTGGGCCCCTGCCACACTCGTGGGAGACCCAGATGGATTTATTGGTTCCTTGGCTTCACCTTAGCTCAGCCCTGGCTGTTGCTGCCATTTTGGGAATAAACCAATGGAATGAAGATCTCTCTATGTATCTCTTCCTCTCTCACTCTGCAACTCTGCCTTTCAACCAAAGAAATCTTAGAAAAAAACAAACACTGCTTTGGACGCCTGCATCCCCTATGAGAG